CTTTTGAGAGAAGTAACTAGTAATGTAACTAAGTTACTATTTTAAAGTAACTTACCCAAAACTGGTAACTACATTATGCTATAATAGTTGTTCACATAAGGATGAACAGATGAAAAACTTAACTGAAGTAAAATTTCATAAAATGAATAAAACATGAAGTCAGGTATATTAATACGTGAATGTTCAAATGTAATCAAATTTTCTATGTTAAGAATAAGAGAAAAGAAGAAAAAGTGATGAAGTGATTTTAATGAAGTAACCTTTGCCCTAGTATAAAGTGGTTGTATGTTATTGGATGTCCAGAGAAGACAGGAGAGAGAGGGAAGCAAAGGGCAAATGAGTATAAAAGAGGTGCCTGGGAACATTCTGGGTTATTTTCTCTAGTTCTTGCAATGAGCAGAACACATCATCTGAAGATAGGCCTGGGGCCTGGGAGGTCCAAAGTTAGAAATTAGAGCAAATAATGCTGGCCCGTCAGTAGCTATCCGCTGCCTCTGAAGTCCCACAGGCTAACCAAGCCCTTTCTCAGCCTCCGGTGACCATCATCTGGTTTGGGGGTTATCACAAACTTCAGCTATGGAGGTCCATTCAGACTTAAGTCCCCAGTCTCCATGTCAAAGATCAGCTGGAAATGGGAGTTGAAGATCTCACTCACTGGGGCCTCTGCCAGGCAGGCATCTGTCGAGCATCCTCCCCCTCCACGTGATCCAACTCACTACCAGGTAGTGATCAGTTGACAACTCAGCACCTCTTTTCACCCGAGCAGAATGTTTCTCCTAAGGCCCCGAATTATGCATGGTCAATAGCTTCTAGATTAACATGTTACCAATAAAAACCCTAATGTCTAATAATGTATTTTCCACACCAGAAAATACAGCCACATGATGATAAGATTGGGCTGCAGCCTAGTGTCCTGGTGCCACGAGCACTTTTTGACGCTCTTAGGTTTGAACATGATTTTTGTTATAGACACACTGTGGTTTGCACAGGAGTCACAGAACATTGCTCGGATTCAGATCCAGGCCGTTCCTCCTAATCACTCCCCTACAGGTCTCACTGTTGTTGCACACATGGACGTTAAAGTAACCCCCAGGTGGAGCATTCTCAAGCACTCCACCCATGGACTCCAAGAAGGCCAGTTAGATAAGTGCAGATGACAGTCAGGACCCATTTCCTGACCCAAAGGTGCAAGGAACAAACCCTGTCATCCACCGGGAAAAACCCCAACTTACAGGCAGCCAGCCGAGGGGATACCCCCAAAGGCATACCCCAGCCTGCTGCCTCTAACCAAGGACAACTCCAAATTGAGATGTCCAGCCCTTCTCCAGAAGGCCACATCCGATCCGGCCGAGGGGATGAAGATGGGATAGAGACACGTGGATAAGGGCCAGAGATTAATAATAGGTAATGATTAAATGACAGGCAGACACTGTCCCCCCAGAGCTCACTTACTGAAGGAATATAGTGTTCTGCCATTTAACAGCACTTCTTTCCAGGCGCCTTTTGTAAGGCTCTCCAAGATGTCTCTTATGGGAATTTGAATGCAATCTTTTCAAATGTTAAACTAGGCCTGTGTCCTTGAAACATTTCAGTCTGGACAAAATACAGTTATTTGCTATTATTTCACTGCCTGTTATGCCTTCTGTTGATTTCCAGTCCACATTACAACAGTGATGCTCTAACTGAAGACAATGAAAAACACATTCCTGACATCCCATAGTGTGAGTTCAGATAGAAAAGACCTTAAAGAGGTTGTTAAATGCTGCTGTTTGTTTCTTCTAATCACACTTATGTTTTTTTCCTCTCATCTCCTGTTTGCTCAAAGTTTCTGAGGGGGATTTTTTGTCAATGGCTAGAATTGAATCTTTCATTTACTAACAAAATCTGTTAACCACTACACCATTGGAGGCACCAGTTTCAGATTGAACTCATCCATCCATCCATCCATCCTCTTTCACTTATCCAATTTGGGGACGTGGGGAGAGAGCCTATCCCAGCTGCCATAGGGTGAATTAAATAAATAAACAAAAATCCATATTGTAACGGAGTTCATCATTGTGGTAAAATTAGTGAGAAGTGCACTGCAGAAACACAGAATACAGCAAAATTTAGCAAAAACAAATGTGTAAAACTGAATAATGTTAAACTGTTGTTGTCCTTCATGGATTTATGAAACAGAAGCAGAATTTAATGTTGTAGACCTTCACACTGACTGTAGACTATTTTTCAAAATTATTTTATAAACATTTAAATGTATAATTTACAAAGCTTATGTTTTCAGTATTTGTTTTTCACAATTAATAAATATCTTTGTTTTTTCTTCCTTAGGTGGGAGGAAGGGACAATCCTGCCGTTGACCCCATAATCCATGGCCTAAAGGGTGTGGTCCATCATGGTGAGTGGCAGGTCCAGTTAGTGCTGAGAGAGGAAGGACTTCAATAGTGTAGATTTTCCCTAATATATAAAATCAAGAGAAAACATATTTTTGAAATCCGTCAAAATCTTCTTTTAAACTAAAAACAATTCTGAGGATAAGGATAACATTATGACCACTAACAGGTGAGGCGAATCACACACTTCATCAGGGCACCTGGATGAACACCAACTTTTTTCCACTCGATAAAAGTTAACGTGAGGGTTTCAGGTGGTTAGGGACAAATGCAATTGCATGGCAGGATGCTGTAAATCAGGGGTGTCAAACTCAATTGCACAGGGGGCTAAAACTCAAGGCAGACTTTAGGTCGCGGGCCAAACAAGATAAACATTTATTGAACACACTAAAACAATGTTTTTTAAACATAAATATGAATAAAAACAGACAGAAATATTATTCCAGTTCAGCAAAGTGCGCTGACTTGGTTCAACATTACTTGGCAACCAGGAAAGTGAGGCAGGTTGCACTGGTGCATTTGTGACAGCTTCACTTGAAACGCCTTCACCGCATCATACATGCCATTTCTCCTCCTGCATCTTTACTCCCATCCTGCGGACTAGTCCGCTTTTTTCACCGCACAGCACCGGCGCTCCATCTGTTGTAAGTCCAACAAGTTTGTCCCAGGGCAGTTTCATGTCGGTAACACTTTGACAAACGTTTTTAAAAATGCCTTTTCCTGTTGTTGTTCCGTGCCTCAATTTAATGTTCAATATTTCCACTCCACGGATGAAGCTGGTCAGCTGTGCAATGTCCATCATGTCTGTACTTTCATCCACAGCAAGAGAGTATGCAAGAAAGTTTTTGCTTCTTTCACACAGCTGTGTTCTTAAATCAGTGGCCATCTCACAAACCCGATCAGCAATCGTACTTCTCCTCAGGCTCACATTTGCCAAAATCTGCATTTTGTCTGGACACAAGACGTCGCACAGCTTCATCCTGCAGCTCTTCAGAGTGGTACCGGGCTGATTTGGCTCCTCTGCTACAATAAAACTTGCTTTTGCCACAGCTTCACTTTGTGATTTTGCTCTGGTGACAAACGTCTGCTGAAAATGTCAGATTCTTCTTTAGCTCTTCTACTTTCTGTAGTTTCTGCATTTTTTCTGCAGTTTTTCAGCTTATCCTGACGTTTTGTCTCGTAGTGCCGTCTTAAACTAAATTCCTTAATTACAGCCACATTAGCTCCACTACTAAGACACACAGTTTACCAGCATGTCTGTAAACATATATTCAGTCTCCCACTGGCGCTGAAAGGCTCTGCTTTCAGAGTCAACTTTTCTCTCCACCATTGTGAGCGGCGAGCTTTGCAATTACAGAAGTTTGACTTGATTGACGGGGAATGTTCCCAGTTAGCCTAGCGTTCAGCAAGGAGGCTGCAGCGCTGCATTATGGGATCTGTAGTTTGTATATTATTAGCGCCTCATATCGCCGGGCCATGCATAACAATAATAATACATCTCGCGGGCCGGATATAAATGTACGCCGGGCCGGATATGGCCCGCGGGCCTTGACTTTGACACATGTGCTATAAACGGACCAAACTTCAGTCAGGAGAACAACTGAGATAATCCATCCACAATACGAGGTTAGTCATTAATATACTGCAACAACATGGGAATAGAGCAGCTGCGAGAGAATTCAGCATGAATGAATCAATGGTACAGAAGTGGAGAAAGCGCAGTTTTTGGCTTTCCCATATTCCAAAAGTGCTTTGCTATTACTGTCGCTATTACTGTAATTTGCAGATGATGTTTGGAACCTGCTGCAATGCTTTCGACTAAAACAGGTGCAGCTTGATGACACCATCAAAATCTCTACCGTTGGCCAAATTTATATTGTTTCTACCGTATACCGTTTACACCGCCCACCCCTACTGTACAGCCAAGAAAACCAATCATAACGACTAAGGCAACATGTGCATATTGCTGCTCACCTGAACACCACATTAGCAAGTGTCCTGAGTTTATTCACAAAACAAAGGATGAGAAAATAAACTGGATAAAGAGAAACACATGGTGGTGGCGTTGTGCTAGGACTCTTCAGGCTGCAAAGTGTGATCTGAGAGAAGACTTTGTCACCTGCATGGGATGACATCTACAGATCCTGTGTGAGGTGAATCAGAGACCTGAACTAACTGAAGTTAGTCCTGTAGTGAGGACATTGTACCTTGATAGACCTAGTGACTGTTCTAGTGCACTGTTAAAATTTAAAATAAGGCTCAAATCATACTCACCTTATCACGACTACTGCTCCAGTGAGACCTGGTCCATATGGATCTCCTGCAGCGGTCAAAACCCGCTTAGGATGTACACTCCAAGGTCCGATCACAAACTTACAACCCGAGGACAGTTCCACGCATGCCCAGTGTTTGTTCACATCTTTCAGTTCAGATTCAGGAGATCCATTCCAGCACATCCCCGTGTCCGCTGATGGCTCTGAATCCGTTCAGCTACCTCCTACTCTACCATCAGCAGTTTCTATGTCGTCGCCTGCAGTGCCGCCATCACCAGACTCACTGCCTGTGGCTGCCATTCCGCCAGAAGTCACTGCACTTCCTGGTCCTAACTCACCTGGTCCTGTCTCTACCAAGCCCCGTACATTGTGCCCAGTGCCTGCAGAACTGCCTGACGATTTGCAGTTATGTGCTTGCAGCTGCATCCCATTCGGTCGGCATTTGAACCTGCTTCGCCGCCACCACTGGCTCCACGGTCGGCCCCCTGAAGTGTTTGGCCTGCGTCGTCGACCTCTGGGTCGACCTTCTGAACTGTCTGGCCTGTAGAAAAGTAACACTCCTAAAGAGCCCAGATGAGCGCATCAGAACTGTAGAAGTCTTAGTGCAGGACAGAACCTATATCAGACCTGTGGCGTGTCTGATTCCTCTGCCCCACTTCCTGACAAAGGTCAACTCTAACCAGTTAAACATATTTCTCGCTAGAAATATGGGGGTGGCTGTTGTAAAGACTCACCTTTCAGCACACTTCACCAGATGCACCTTTTTTCTTTTCCTCACCTTTGATTGGGTGTGGTGCTTGCCCTTAATTGCACTCACCTGTCACCCGTTATATAAGGACTGCACTCACCTACCGCTAACCCTTTCTTTACTCCCACATGGGGCGGCAGCTGAGGTGAGTTTCTGTTTGAGTCTCCTGAGTTCATCTATTATTTTGAGTTACTGAGTGACACACTTTATTTCCTTTCAGTTAGCAGTCCATGCGTGTCTTTCCTTTTGCTCATTATTCAGTAAAACAAGAAACTTGCAAGTGATTGTTGACTGTTCATTCTCATCCTGACCGAATGAGCCCATGATGGTAACAAGCTCCAACCTCCTCTGAGCCTTCCTTCAAAACATAACCCTTTCCTGACTGATAGATTCTCAGTTGCTTCTTTAGATTGTGGCATGGTGTGTTGCTTTTTGAGATCTTTTAGCCTCCTTCACATTGTCAAACAGATCCTGAGTGATGCATTGATTCAACAGGTCTGCCAGTAATCAAGCCTGAGTGAAACTGAACTAACATTCCAACAAATGTCGTTAATCACAGTTACTTCATGATTTAACAAGAGGGGCAATTACTTGTCCACACAGGCCCAGGTGGGTTTGGATAACTGTTCTCCCATAATGAATGAAATCATCGTTTCGAAAATGCATTGTGTGTTTACCTGTGTTATCTTTGTCTAATAGTCAAATTAGTTTGATGATCTGAAACAGGTAACTTCTACAAACGTTAAATATACCGTAATTGTCGGGCTAAAAGCCGCTACTTTTTGCACAAGCTTTGAACCCTGCGGCTTTTAGTCAGGTGCGGCTTTTTGGATTATCCATGATTTTTGTCATATCGTAAGAGGATTTGTTTTGTTTGTTCCGCTGTTGTACGGCACTACGTTGCCTGGCGGAAGGGCATGTGATCAGACACACAGTATCGGGGTTCAAGAGTGGCATGTTGGTCACATGTCCATCCGCCAGGCAACATAGTGCCGTACAAGTAGCGCGAAAAACAAACTTCAAAGTAGCACTACACGTTCAGCCAGAGGTGTGGATGACGAGCGGCAATAAACTTGCGAAAAGCAAGTTATGCTCAACTCCACCGGTGGAATCTGACAGCGTGGAAAAGTGTGAAAACATCCATGATCACCAACGGATTTCGAAGGGCTGGACTGCTGCATGATGGAGAGGAGGACCTTCAGAGGGTGTTCGACTCCGACGCTGACAACGAGGATTTGTTTGGTTTTGAAAGTGACAACGAAGAAAAGGAGCTGAGAGTGGATGACGAAGCCATCGTGAGCCTGTTCGTTTCCGACACTGGAGAAGAGGACTTTGGTGGTTTTAGTGCGCAGAAAGATGGTGGTGAATGACTGACTTTTCTTCTTGTTAAAGCCGTGTCACTGCACCTGAGCCTAAAAGGTAGTCCGAATCTATTTTTCTGGTGTGCTGTAGGTTATTGTTATGTACTACATTTGTTACTCATTTATGAAGCACAGTACATGTTTCCTACTTGTACATATACCTAAAAAGTTGTGCAAATGTGTACCCATAGCTTGTTTTTCAAAATATTAATAAAAGGGATGTGTCTCCAAACAGCCATCTCTTTCCTGACAATTCCCTTTGTGCATATTCTCTTACATATGATAAGTCAAAATTGAAACACCTGCGGCTTTTAGTCAGGTGCGGCTAATGTATGTACAAAACAGGATTTTCCCCTGATTTTAGCTTGTGCGGCTAATATTCAGGTGCGCTTTGTAGTCCGGGAAATACGGTAAATAAATAACCTGACAAAAGAAAACTACATGGTCCTCCCAACCACCACAACTCACATTTCTCATCATTCCTGGATATCATTGCTATAATGAACCTTTCCATCTGTAAACCTGCAAACCCTTGCAAAGACACTGGGTCCCTGTGTTTGCTATTAGAACCTTTCATTCAGCCTTTTGATTTCACATTGATGGTGCAGGGACATTCAGTGGCTACCTTGCAACAAACTGCAAGGCAGTTTGTAAAAGAAGCACAGGTGTCTTTTTTGTTATGGTGTCTTCTGCCAACATTTTTCTTCTCTTTTTTTTCATCATCTTCAAAGCTTTTTTACCCACCCATGTTCTTGGGCATTTTGTTAAAGAGTGAAACACTAAGTTATGTCAAAGTTGACAATGATACTTCAAGGCTGACAATCATATGTTGTTTTCTCTGTCATCTCTTGGGGATGCTAAATTATGAAAGCACAAATCAAAGGAAATCAAGACATTATGTCATGGTCTGGGTGGGTACCTGCAGGTCTCCAACAGCGGCCCCTCCTCCTTTAGGCGGAGTTCGGTTGGTCCTCCCTGGCTGACCACCTGTGAGCAATTATTCCGGCAGTATATCAGACCTGCGCTCTCAACCATTCATCGCCTGAGTATCTGCTATCCCCATAGGTAGCACCTGGAGTGGAAGTCTTGTCTCCCTCACTCCCGCCTTCCTGGACCTGGGCCGCTTGCTGCTGATACGACGTGGCCTGCCGGCCCACCACTCACTTGCCTGCCTCCCCACGTCTCGACCGCTTCCGGGCCTTCCGCCCCACCTGTCCCCCCCACCTGAAACCAAGTAAGGCAACTCAATTCAACTGTGGAGGATCGTTGATTGTCTGCTGGATCCCACTGACCGTGATCTCCTCTTATTCCAGTGCCCCGGCCCCTACCTAGTCCTGTTTCCACCTCCCCGCTGCCTCTGCTGTTCAGCCGTCTCCTAGAGGTGTCTAGGTCACCCTCCGTTATCTTAGATTATCCTACGCGCCACTAGTGTGGTGGCGTCATTTCGTTTTTTTGCTTGTGTTTGCCTGTTGGCGGAAATAAATCCTTTGTTCCCTTATCGTCTCGCTTGGTTTCTGCACCTGTGTCCATCTCTGTTCCCTCGTGCCGCTGGGCCGTGACACATTAAACCTAAAGGCTCTGAAGCAAGTCTGAACCCTTGCCACTTCAGCTTGCAGGGAAATAAAGCTTGTTATATAGATTATATTGCATTGATTGAAACTATTTGTCCTACTATCTTTCAAACAGAAAAGGAGACCTTTCTGGAGCCATTTGTGCTTAAGGACCTGCTGCCATCCTCACTGGGAAGTTATTATCGTTACACTGGCTCTTTGACCACTCCACCCTGCAGCAAGGTGGTAGAGTGGATCATTTTCAGCAGTCCTGTCTACTTCTCTTACAAACAGGTAAGACGCATGCCAGTAATACAGCTGTGTCAACTTGTTTCCTTAGTTATATAAGAATAACACCACTCATTTAAACATATTGCAAAACCTTATTTTTATTCTATGTTAATGCTGAAGTTAATTATCCACAACTTATTTTATAAAATGTAAAAAATTCCCCTCTCTCCTCTGCTGGCGGTCTATCCCTTAAACTCGGGTTCTCTACTACGGGCCTGTGAGCATGAGGGTCCTCGTGTCCCCTTTTCCTGATGTTGCTGTCATTTGCTATGGCTACGTCTAACACTATGGCCGTCTTCCTCTCCTCCACCCCTACTATGTCCGGTTGGTTAGCCATCATCAGTTTGTCCGTCTGTATCTGGAAGTCCCACAGGATTTTAGCACAGTCATTCTAGACCACCCTAGTGGGTGTCTCCCATTTTGGCTGCTCTTGCTCCTCTTTCTTGGGTTTCTGCTGTCTGAGGTATTCACTGAGCATGTGGTCAGTTGTCTGATGTACTCGTGGATGTTCATTGTCTTATCCTGGATGTGGTTCTAGCGTACAGATTCAGTGTGCTGGATTTGGGGTGAAATCCTCCATGAATGGTCAGGAGCTTGTTATCCCAGCAGGATACCTGATCACCAACAGGGCATAGGTGTTGATAACCCGGATCTTGTTCTTGCCATTCAGCTGACTAATCAGGACTTGCCTTACTTTCTGCAGGTACTTGGTGGTTGCAGCTTTCCTAGCGGCCTCGTTATGGTTCCCATTTGCCTGCGGGATTCCCAAGTACTTGAAGCTGTCCTCAGCAATGTTGCCTTCTGATAGTGTGATGCCCTCAGTTCTGACTACCTTTCCTCTCTTTGTTACGATCCGATTACACTTCTCGAGTCCAAATAACATTCCAGTTTCGTTGCTGTAGATCCTTGTGGAGTGGATCAGTGAAGTGATGTCCCATTCACTCTGAGAATACAGCAAGATATCATCGATGTAGAAGAGGTGGTGTTACTTAAAGCAGTTTCACTCCGGTTCATTTTTTAATCGTCGGGTCTCCAGAGACGGCACCGGACTGAGTAGTTATTTCACAAAATCTTTATTCATCTTCAGTTACGCATGCACCTTCTAGAAGGAGGGACGTGCAAGGCTGGTGTCCCTCTGCAGATCTTCACTTCTTTGTTTTGTTACAACCAGCTTTATAGAAGCGACCCCATCATAAAACCCACATGATGTGTTGTAAACTCTGTGTTTGTATATGTATGTGCAAGCACGTGAGTGCCAGTGTGTGTGCGTACCTGTGTGTTTATGTGAGTGCACGTGAGTGACTGTGCGTGTGGGTGGGTGTGCGTCGCCACAGTTAAAGCACAGTGTGTCTCTGTGTATGTGACTTCCTACTGGTCATAAAAGTCCATCTCCCCTCACCCAAGCTACACCAAATTCCTTTACAAAACATACAAAACACAGTTAACATATTACAAGCACTGAGACCCCTACTCTGCATCCACTGGGCCATTGGCCTCTTGTTGTCTTACTTTAACAGCTAAGCATGTGGAGGGTCTCCTGCAAACCTACTTCTAAGTTAGGACAATTATAAGGTTTTCAGGTACTAGCATTAGCATCCCCCATCTGTAGCTTCCTGTCTCCTTTTATGACAGGCTGACCCCTGGTGTGCATAAATTCCTCTCCCTCTACACAATTGCACACACTCTCAGGCCTATAGCTAAACCAAACTGAAACCCACAGACAAATCCTTCCCTATTCCTCTGATCTACTGCTGGACCCTTTCATCTAAGCAAATTTAACACATTAGATTCTAATAATTGTTTTCTTGTACTCACAGTGGCTGATATCCTTAGACAGTCTTGTTAATGATCTCATTGAGGAGGTCCAGGCCTATGCAGAACAGCAGTGGGGACAGCGCATCTCCTTGGTAGATCCCGCTCTTGATGGTGAGGTGTGCTATAGGCTTTCAGTCGGCCTCCAATGTTGTTTGTCACATCCCCATTGAGTTCTTGATGAAGGGTCTAAGGGTCCTGTTGATCTTGTACAGTTGTAGTCATTCCAGGATCCAGGTGTGGGGCATCGAAGCATAGACCTCCTTGTAATCAATCCAGGCAGTGCACAGGTTGGTCACTCTAGCCTTGCAGTCTCGGGCAACTGCTTTGTCTACCAGCCGCTGATGTTTCGCTCCTCTGGTATTCCTGCCAATTCCTTTCTGTGCCCCACTCATGCATTGCATGTTCCGGAATGTATTCACTATGGAATGTGAGAAGGAAAAGTGTGAACAAAGCAATAAAATCATTTACAACTTTTGTAACTGACAGACCTCTTACTTTTAAAGTAAGAAGTCTGTCACGGTGTGAGCCGTGCAGACTGGACCCAGAGCAGATTTAACACAGAAGTGGAGCGTACATGACAAGAATTTATTACAGTGAGTGAAACTGTGGAACAGGGTTCATACGCCTTTTTCAGGGTCAAATTCAAGCAATGCCATGTGAAAATTAAGACAAATCATCCTAGGTGAACAAATCAACTTGTTAGAGATATTCTTCTCCTGTTGATAAAAAAACAACCAAAAATAAATGAGTCTTCTCATCAGATATTGATGCTTCTTTCCTGTGTGACAAAAAATAGGAGACAGATGTTTGTTTGTTTGTTAGTTTTATTGGGAATTAACTTAGCTTCTCAGATGAGAGGTGAAAGGTCTTCAAGCAACTTAAAAAAATCCAGACTCTTTTCTTCCCAAGCTCCTTAGACTACAATGACCTGGATGACTGAGAACCTTCACAGACACATTCTATAGTTAGTATCTGAAGTCAGTTTTGTTAATGATCTGGCTGAGGCTAGCCTCCAGTGTTGTTCTCCACATCGCCTCATTGATCTTTTATAGTTCTAGACATTTCAGGTCCACGTGTTAGAGACTGAGTCATAAGTGTTCCTGTAATCAATCCAGGAGGTGCACATGCTGGTCAGTCTGGTCTTACAGTCTCGAGTGACTGTTCTATCTGCCAGCAGCTGGTGTTTTGCCCCTCTAGTGATTCTGCCAAATTCCTTTCTGTGCCCCGCCCATGTACTGAGCAATATGCTTGTTCATGTTAGACACTATGATGGCTGACAGGTTCCTTTCATGTTGTGCTGAGTCAGGTAGTTGACTTTGGGATTAGGACTGCCCAGGCTTTCATTAGTCATTCTGGTTGTGTCTCATCTATTAGCATTTTGCTCATTTGTGCTGCCAGACAGTCATGGAGTGCAGTTAGTTTTAGCCAGTAGATGTGAATCATGCCAGGGCCTGTTCTGTCCAGCTCTTAGACAAAGACTTGCTCTTGGATGTCTGCCACTGTGCTTTAATCTGTTCTTAGATCCACTAGCCACTGGGCATTGTTGTCCTCTGCTGTATCCTTCTCCCATATGCTCAGTAGAACAGGCTTGGTTCATCTCCAGTATTGGTGGGGCTGTTCTCATATTATTCTCTTGCCATTGACAGTATGTTTTGGATGGTTCCATGGAGAACATCTGGTATAGCATCCTGGCTTCAGTAATTGTGCGTCCCTCCATGGCTATGCCTCCCCAGACCATTACTGACCCACCACCAAATCTGTCATGTTGAGTGATGTTGTAGGCAGGGTAACATTTTCCACATCTCCTTGAGACCCTATCACATTTGCTAAGGGTGAACTCATACTCATCTGTGAAAAGCACAGGGCACCAGTGGTGGACCTGCTTATTCTGGTACTGGAATTGGCAGGTCCACTACCAAGAAAAATGGTGGTATTAGAAAGTCATGTCCGTGTGTATTTTTATCTGATCTGTTTGCTCAGGTTTTGACAGAGACAGGCACCTGCTGGTCCTTGATGGGTCGTGGGAGTTCTAAACTTTGAAAAAGTAACACAGCTCAGGAGTGATCATATATATATATTGCACAAGGAACAGAAATCCTACAAAGGATGCCTAGAGAGAAGATGGATTGATAAGAGGCATGGTGGTAAAGTGGTTTGCACTGTCGTCTTGTAGTAAAATGTTTCCTAGATACTCGGAAAGGAAGGTTCCTGCATATCCTGCAGTTTAGATGGCCTGTATATCCCTGTGAATGTTTCCTTCAGGCATTCCTGTTCCAGAGACAAGCATGTTATATTAATTGGTTATTCTAAATTAGCTGTGGATGCAAAGTACATAAAGTGCTTTAAGTGTATAGAATAACATGCTCTGCTTTGAGTGGTCAGTAAGATTAGAAAGGCGCTATATAAAGAAAAGTGCATTATGCCTGCAAGCACAATAATCTGAATTTGGCCTTAATCATACTGTCAAAGCACGAAATATGAACAGTATGGAAGTAAGCGTTAAATAAAGAGCCCTGATGTTAAACTTGCCCTGTGCCTTCAGTAGTTTATACTTTAAAACTGTCAAGGTTTTTCTTTGGGAAATGCAAAGATAACCATTGTTCAGTTCAACTCAGTGTTATGTGTGACTTGATGTTATTTACTATGTTCATCATATTATAATTGTGAAGGAAATCCTGTGTAACCAGGCCAGCTTGAGCAGAATAACTCAGCAGATGCTGCGCACTTAATGGTGTGTGTGTGTGTGTGTGTGTGTGTGTGTGTGTGTGTGTGTGTGTGTGTGTGTGTGTGTGTGTGTGTGTGGTTTTATAGAAAGTACTTTGAGCTCCAAAGTGTTGAGAAAAGTGCTCTATAAATAAAGCATAAATTGAGTATTTGGTACCACAGATGCGTCATTGTCTTGCACACACTCAAAAGTGACACTAATCCTCTGCTAATAAGCTACCTCCAGAGACTCCTCCTTGAAGTGACCCCTTGATCCCTAATGAGAAGGAAAATCCATCCACCCTAATTATTAAGCCCTGTTACTTAACATAAATAAGAAGGTGATCCGGCATTAAGACTACTGACAGAACAATATTTTGCCCATGTTTATAGCAATAACAAACTTTTTTTTTCTGGTCCACTTGGTAAAGAAGGTCCTGCAGCAGCTACACTTCCTGTGTCCTGAGGAAAATAACCTGACTTTC